TATTGGTGGCCAACATAGACGTTGTCATCCACTGCGCTGCAACGATTAGTTTCAATGGACCACTTAAACGTGCGTGTTTCATCAACGTCAGATCCACCAGAGACCTACTGTTGATGGCGCAGCGTATGCCGAACTTAAAAGTAAGGGATATTATATATACATGTTATCGGCCATGTAATTTACTAATAGGTTTATTCAAAACTAATAATACAGATGAGTCGATAATTTATATTCATAACAATTTGATTGCCTATTATTTAATAGTCGTTTGTGTACGTTTCGACGGCGTTTTCCAACCCGAATGAATCATTGATCAAAGAGATCATCTATAATTGTCACATAAAAGCAGAAACGTTAATCGACATAGTCGAAAATCTGCCCGAATCGATTGTGACCTCGATAACGCCACAGTAAGTGTTATAGACTTATTAATAATCGGTATGTAATTTGACGTTAATCGTTTAATCCATGTAAAGAATTATAGGAAAATGGCCTAATACGTATACGCTGTCAAAAGCCGTTGCGGAGAACCTCATCAAAGACTACGGCAAAAACATGCCGATAAGTATTTCAAGACCTTGTGTCGGTAATAATATTGATATTATTGATGTTTAAAACATAGAAATATTTTTAAAAAAAGTTTAAATTAGGTTCATCGTCGTTTAAATAAATAATTTTAATTTAGATTTGATAATTTAAGATTCTAAACAAAGTTTGGAAAATAACTATGATTTTACCATGTGTGCTATTTTTTTATATTTGTATGTAAACAATTAATTACCCCGGTAATCTTGCATCAGTCAATAACATTAGGAGTAATTTTTTTTTTTTAGTTTTTTGAATAATTGGGAACTGCTAAAACGTAAAGATAACGGGTAAATACATTAAATAATGCTTTCTGTTATTTTAGTGTTATTTATTTGTTATAATAATTCGGGTTAAAATTATAGTAAAGACTAAAGTTTTTATTGAATATTGAGTTTCTTTTAAACAGGACACAATTTTTAAAATAATATGGTAATTTCTGAGCGATTTATAACTATGTGGCATTTTGAAGTTTTTATTTTCATTCGGCCAAATTTTGGCTAAAATTTTAACACGAGGTTCATCGTAATAAATAATTGAGAGTAAAAATCGCAGTTTAGCGTATCAAAGTATGATAATGTCATCTTTGGATCTTAATTTAAAACCAGTAACTTCAATTATTAGTTTTCATGTCTATTTTAAATTAAAACTTGCATTTTCGAATTTTTTTCATACAAATTAAATTTAACTAGCCTTACAGATTTTATGAAGTTATTCTTGTATTTTTTATAATGCAAAGCTTAAGTTAAATATAAGGATTTTTTTGTATTTATTTGAGAGAAATTGTTTGCTGTGAGTTGAAGTTAATAATTCATTAGTCATTCATTAATTAAAGCGTTTTTTTTTAGTTTATAAAAATATACTGGATATAGATTTATCAATTGCATTTTTAATAATTTTATCGTTGACATTTTACTATTAATTTACATCACTACAGACATCAAATACTTCAATCCAATTTGCATTGGCTTATATTGATGTAATTGAAATAAAATCAATATTACTATACACATTTTAATAAATAACAAAAATAGCATTATTTGGAATTAAAACACAAACCATACTGTGATCCGTTATGTCAGTAAGAATTACACCAACATTAATTTTACTCGTTACGTTTGCATTACTATTAATAAAAATACGGTCTACAAAAGAATAGTTAAAGCCCTTTAGTTATGTTGTGCAAACGTTTTTATAAAAAATAAATTCACTTTTAGATAACATATAAGGACATTCGTTATTATTTTCTTGCCCACCAAATATTTCAATATTCTTAACACCACTAATT